GCGACTCAAGTACATTATTCTATTCCCCACTTATCATTAATATTAGAATAAAGCAAAGTCTGTGGCTTGTAGTCCGCAAGCGAACTACACCGACCGAGCGACCGCCACTTGTCGGCGAAGTTAATGTCAAATTTTGCGGATAGAGAGAGTCGCGTGGTCAGCGCAACGGATCTCCACAGCCGTTTATCTCGGATTTCCAGACCGGAATAGTAGAATAAAACTAGCAAACATTCTTGTTCTCAGTATCATTAAGTCGGAATTGCATATTGGACATTTCCTTTTCTTTTCAAGTTGTGGGCTGAAACTACGTCCCTTAGTACTTGCAGCATAAATGGACTACATTTATACGTATTCCTTAATGTTATCCCTATATGTAATTTAAGCCCGTCTAGAAATATCATCGTTTATTCAATTAGTCGAATTAATAACATTTTGAACAGTCATTTAATATCTAACTCTACTTAATTTATCCCGTGATAGCACGTGGCACTAATTCTTTAAATTTCTGACCACTATTGACTCCTTATGTTGTCCTCCCTTAATTTACTTTCAGCCTTGCCATTAGCCATACAGCCGAGTCATCAAGGTCTTTCTTACAAAATCCCCCTAAAATATTGTTTCTTTCCACTACTGATCCGGATCTATGAAAGAAAATTGCGAAAAGAAACAGTTAGGTGTTCCGGCACCTGAACCCAGAGTAGAACCGTGACCTCCCAGGAAGATATTCAGTGCTACATCGGCCCATCAGCTGATACAGAATGTTAAAGTAAATGAAGAATGAAGACCAAATAAAACAGCATCATTATTTTGAAGTTTTGTAATATCAAAGGGAATCTATTTGAGGGAAGCTTCGGCAGGAATGGGAGTTTGACGTGTGACTGATTCACCATGACAGCCCATCTTTGTATACATCACAAATTTCGGAAGCAGAACATCACAGAATTTCCACAATAAACGTATTCGCCAGACTTTGGCTTCGCCTTTCGTTTTTCACGCTACCGAAACAGAAAAGTTCATTGAATAGACGGCGTGTGTGCACGACAGGGCCTTGTACCAGAACGAGACGACACAGCTGAAGGCAAGTCGAAAATTGAATTCCACGGCGTTTTTTTTTTTTTTCAAAATTCGAAGAACTCAGGAATAAGAATCTTGGTGCTGAAAGGACTAGTGTGAGGGAGACAACGTTATCTAAACTTTAAATATCAAAGTCTCATATGAAAGCAGAACCTTTATTGTCGATTATTTTCAGAGGGAGGTCAGGACTCTCTGTGTCTAGTCAAGTGCCTGGCAACAACACGTGTAAATGGAATTCAAGATGACATTCGGAAAATGTATTAAAAATTCCAGTCATTTTAGACACTAAACAGTCATCGTACCTCTTATTTTCTAAAGTAAAGATAAGGCATTCATATTGTCACGTGTTGCTGGTTAGCGTGACTAATAATAATGGGTTCTGGATTAGATGAATAGATTTATTGGACACTCATAAATCATGATTACAAATAATTAAAACGCTCTAAAAATTGCTGTAACTATAACACAAAATAAATTCTTCAAAGCCTGCTTGCTAGTTCTTGCTTGGCAACGAATCTTATCTGGTTAACATTTCAACTACTGAACTGTCTTCTGAATTCTCTTACGAGACTTAACGTATATTACGCCCGACGGTCAGTTGGCCAGTCTGTCTTGCAATAAGATACCCGTCTGGGGCTTACGAACAGTTTTTTAATACTTTTAGACATTTGTGGGTATTTTGATATTGGGCGCCCTCTCTGACGAGAGGACGGATCTGTCGTTTACAATTGCTGCTGGTCCTCGACAGCGCAGTTATTTTCGGGACCGAGTCCCGTGGGACTTGTGGCCATATTTTATTATCTCAGATTGGAGACTCTTCTTTTCGTCGCCTCCTACGACTCGCAAGGCTACGGCGGAACTTTCGATCCCGCCTCCATACGGAATAATCTCTCTCTTTTCTTCTTGACGTTCACAGTCAAAAGTATCTTACGGCAGACGTTCAGTCGGCCAGTCCGTCTTTTTATAACTTGAGGAGGACCGAATAGCTATCACCGCTTCCAAGGGCTCTGCTACTGCTCTTCATGACTGCGTTGTTCAGCATTCGGCTGTTCCTGCTGGTTGTCACGGAAAAGTGTTTTAACAAGTCGTTGTCTAGCAATGGATTATTCCGTTACAGTATATCTAGTTTCCATGCTATATGATTTACGATTTGGCTGCAGCGTGAGTCTAACCACTGATACCCCACTACTTCTGAGGCTTAGAAAGTGCAAAGCTCTATCACGGCACCTCTTATGCAACTTAGAATTTGTGCGTTCGTGGCTAAAATCATTCGTAATTTATCCATGTCATTTAAAATTGGCAGGGTGTGAAGGGCAGGAGGTTTAAATTGACTGAGCCGTAACTCAAGTATAAAGGCCGTGTCATAGCTCAGGCGGTCAGTCGCCAGCTTCCCATAGCAACGGCCCGGGTCAGGTCATGTGGGATTTGTGGCGGACAAAGTGGCATTTCTACAGGTTTTCTCTTCTACTTCGGTTTCTCCTGCCAATCTTCATTCCACCAATTGCTCCACAATCACCCTCACCTATCATCCGGGGCTGGTACAGTAGGCCAGAAGTTGACGCAGTATCAAGTGGACTCAGTCTCACCCAATTAAGAATAATAATAAGAAATAATAACTCAAGTAGAGGAGATACTACCTCTTCAGGGTAGATCCCGATGTTAGGAACATTAACTTTTTTAATTTATATCGATTTAGGTTAACAAATTCGTTGTCTTAACCTGCTTAATACTTGGACTTTTAGCACAATGGTTAATGAAAGAAAATTCCCAAATAAATAATAAATTTTTGTTATAAGGACGGAGTATGGATGTATTATCCTTTTTTCACGTACAATGTATTACTGATAATGCGGAGGTCTCAATGAGCCTGGTTCAAAAATAGCAAAAGCGCTTGAGTGAAGTCGAAATTTTGTCATTATAAGGACACAAGCAATGGGGTTTACAACATATTACAAGCACGAATCAAATGGACGATGACAGCGGCCGCACGGCCTAAGGCATGAACTGTCTTTGCTAGCTCGAAAACTGGGATCGAGGTTTCGAAACTTATCAAGACATGAATGTGTGATTGCGTTTATTCGGTGACTGGGTTAGGTAGCGGTCTTATGACGGACTCATGCCCCGTAGTCCTACCGACTATCTGTTGTCTAGAATCAAGAAAATGGAAAGAAACGAAGAATTTCACGGATGCCTTATGCTCCAAATGAGAGCAACAAAGAAGAAACGTAACAAGTGAAGATGATCTGCATCGAATAATGAAGTCCATTAGATGCAATCGCATATTTTACTGAATAATATATAACATTACAAATTATCATAAATTTTTTCCACTCTTCGAAATTTTTACTTTCCTGGGAAAGTTAACTTCAGTTTTACAGTCTGATGAATAATTCATCTGCCTATGGTGAAAGAATCGTTAGAAAACGAAATGAAGGGAGCTGACATTTACCTTGCGTATTAATATTTAAGAAAATATAATTCGTTATATCTCTCTGCGTATAAAAGCCTTAGAAACTCAGAGAACACTTCTAGTCAACTGCTCCCCAATTTCTATTGCAGAAATAAACCTATTAAAATGTAAGGGGCAACGTGAAGCAGTTAATCAGAGCAGCACAGTTTCTCGCTTCTCTGATCTGAACACCGAGTATATCAACTTACAGCTACTAAATTCATAATTTTTAAGTTCTGCTACAAATACTGTTGTCTCTTGATCAAATGAATTTTGAAATTCCTTACTAGTCCAATGATTTCAAATTACATTTCACGGTAGAATGACTGAGATAACCCTTCGCGTCAGCGATTAAATTTATTGGCACGCCATTTTTTTTTTTTTTTGTAAATTCATTACTAACTAACCTGAGTATGAACAGAAATATTCGTATATTGATGTGGAAAATATACTGTGACATATTGGCCCAAAGCAAGAATTTGGGAGCCAGATAAATCGCCATTGTTAGGCAACGGCAATATAAAAGCAACAACAAAGTAAATGTTATAAGCGGTATTTTACATGCAGTCCGCGCCAATAGCGGTGCCAGGCAACAATGTAGTAAGTATTAAATCCAATTACTAATCCAAACCCGTTCTGTAGTAAGTCGATCACGTTACAATAATTTCCCTGAGTAGCAACAACTTATAATGAGCCTAACGTTACCAGTGACACATTGTTTCTTTTCGAACTGTGAACGACAACTTTTGCTCAGATAAACCATATATTATGTTGGATGACGTCGTTAAAGTTAAATGTTTCAATTTCTGGAAGATAAAATATTATATTAAGCAGTATCCCGTCGAATAAATTTTTATGCAGCCTCAATTACAAAATTGTACACGCCACAAGAAACTGGAGGGAGAGTTCTGTGACTGATAATAACTTCAGAGCATATACACAATATATATATATATGAATAATTGTTTCAATGTCTGGAACCTATTTATTATTATTATTATTACGTATTATTATTAGAGGGGGTGGGTTTCCCCATGTACTTAGACCAGTTACTGGTCCATTGTGCATCCCCCTTCAATTTCTACTGTCCCCATATCCTACCGGTACTGGTGCGTGCTATCAGCCCCGTTCAGCCAACGAGGTCGGCTGTCGGTATCTGATATTTCCCCCATCTACCAGAGGCATTGGTAACTACTTGGGCGGAAAAGTGTTGCCTAATTTCGCTCAGACGTCTCCTAGAGACATGAGGATCTTTTACGGCTTAAAGTCCTTCCCGGAGGACTTGTCCCCTGAAACCCTTCGCAGGGTTTGAACCCGCGTACCTTGAGTCATGGGGTGGTAACGTTACCCCTAGACTACGGAGGCCGCTTATGTCTGGAACCTAAATATCTGTGTTATTGAATGGGAACTGGTCGGTATGTGGACTGTTTGCAGATAATTTGAGAAAACTAATGGATTGGGTATGTGTTTTGTTTCAGCCAACAGTGCACATCACTTCACAACGACTGTCACGTGGTTCCTGCCTCCGGTATTGCTCCTGTATCTCAGGTTATGAGGATAAGGTAAGCGTTGCTTTTTTTTTTTTTTTTTTTTTTTTTTTTTTTTGGGCCGATCCCGGAGGTACTGCNAACGGCGTATGTTATGAAGAGACTTCAGATTCAGCAGGTATTTTGTTGAACTCTTGGGAAAATGTTATGCGGTGAACGCTTACTGATTTCTTCCAAAACTGTATGATTAACCGGCATGTATTGATGTATTTGAGAGTTTTTGTCCTCGGCACTAGTTGGATGTGAGTGGTCAGTTTCACTAACCGGCCGCTTTACCCCCAGGAAAGAGCCTCCGGTACCCACTGGATAGGAGGTTGGGTGGGTCCCAGAGCCGGTCTACGCGACATGGAAAAGTGAAAATTCTTGCCCTCACCGGGACTCGAACTCCGACCCCATAGCCAGTCGCTTTACCGGCTCTCATGTATAGAGTCCGAAGAAATAAAATCCAGCACTACATCTGCGAGGGTGCGTCATCGTCAGTTAATAACGCAGATAATTATGTCATCATTAGTAAGGTTCTAAGTTCTGTACGAAACATACTTCCGGTATACATACGCCGGTGGAGAACACGTTTACACAGGATTCTTCTTCGGAAAAGTTACCTACACGTGGTATGACGTACCTTGATTCATGCAGTGGATGCACCTTACAAATATTCAAAGCATTGTCAAGCTTTGAACTCACATTAACATATCTACTTTACTGGCTGGTGTTCGAATTTTATCCCCGAAAAGATAATGTAGAAATGAGAAGTGAATCGTGGTCTGGAAATTTCATTCGGCATATATTCGCATGAAGAGAGTCATGTATCACGTCTGTAGTACTGGAATCGCGTGAGCGTGCCACATTTTTGCGGATTATAGAACGGTTTATCCATTATTGTGGTCCTTGTTTTCGTTCGTATGGCAGCCTAACCGATGAGTCACAATCTGAAGTACTTCATATTAAACGAAGCAATTCGATTAAACCGGACTGTCGACAGCGGCAGGGGTGAACTTTAGCAATAGATCTGTCGGTCCGAAGAGAAATGTTTCACTATGGTTACAATTTCAAATGTTAGTATATAACTTCTCTAATCAATAAAAGGAAATACTAAATCAATGACGGCATGTAAAGAATGGGTAGATAAATACTGTCAGAGTGTTAATTAATCTTTCTTGCGTTAAATTCTCAATTCTTCATCTCATAATTGGTTTGTACACAGTTTTTAAACTGCAGTTCCATACTTTCATTATATCTATCTATGGCTCTACAGCCCTTTGTTAGACCTTGGCTGCTTTTTCGGTTTCTTGATCATTCACACAGTCTGTAGGACTCCTTGGACGGGGATCAGGTAGTCGGAAGGTCGCTACCTGCACACAGGACAACATAGACACTAAAAAAACCCACACAGACATCAATGCCTCAAGTGGATTCGAACCCACGATCCCGGTATTTGAGCGGACGAAAACAGTTCGTGCCTTAGACCGCGTGACCACGGTGATCGGCTCTTTCATTATATTAACAAATAATTTTTAGGTAATTCGATGACGCTGAATAAGTTACTGAAGTAACGTAAAATTACTATGCAAGGACTGTATAATTATGAATGGTATATTTTTAGCAGAATTGGAGGACGTTTTCATGACTGATGTTAATACAATTCTATCATGATTTTAATGATTATAAATTCATTACTCTGTACAGAGGAATCGGCTCTTTTGAATGGATCCTGTCTTGACCCGCTTGAACTCGTCGAATGAAATAATGACTGAGGAAGTGTAAACTGAAGAGTACGTCAAAGGGGGTTATGCCTGTCTATCGTAAGGTGTTATTCTAGTTTTTGTCTACACGGACTCAGGAAGACCGCATAAAATCTCAATCAAGATATTCAAACCTCGGGTGGGATCTGAACTCTGGACCACCTGAATACAAAACAGGAGTGCATACTAGTTTATTATCTTCGCATTCTGAGTATTTTCATCACCAAGAGAAGGATTATCTTGTGGCTTTAAGTATAAATTTTTCAACCACCTCGAAAACATATTTAGTATTAAATATTAGAAAAGTATGTCCATGATTTATTTTAACCGTCTTACAGTGCATACATTTATTCACCTTACTCTTCTCTCTTGCACTACATGTTTCAGCACAAAAGTGCAGTCACACGCAGTCACAGGAGCAAGACACAACACAAAGCACAATACACACACGAAAGTAGGAAGAATGCTCCGATAGAGGAAGATAGGTGTGACTCGCGTATTGAGATACGACATAAGGATGACAAATCCTGAACAGTTTTAATATTTTTAATATTTAAAATTTATCAATATATATGACGAGTATATATTTTAGTATAGAGACAACAGGGCATGCAATGAAGTAGTTTGACGTACAACGAAAAGCACCTGAAGATGGCACTTTTGTGCTGAAACATGTAGTGCAAGAGAGAAGAGTGAGGTGGATGAGTGTATGCACTGTAAGACGGTTAAAATAAATCATGGACATAAATCAGTGCAACAGGACTCTAAAATATAACATTATTAGAAAAGTAAATTAGTATAGACAGTTCAGTCGGTATAGCGACGGACTACGGGTAGAACGGCTGGGGTTCGATTCCCCGCAGGTGAAAGAATTTTTTCTCTATTCCACATCATCCAGATCAGTTCTGGGGTCCACCCGGCCTCATATCCAATGGGTGGAGAGGGTTCTTTCCCCAGAGGTAAAGCCGCTAGGGCGCGAAGCTGACCACTCACCGAAATATAGTGAAGAGGCAAAGAACGATAGGGCTATACCTGCACTCTCCAATATGTCTTCATGGCATTTTTGTCTTCCTCTTCGCTACCACTTTGGAGCACAGAGCTGATTTCTTAGTTTCATTGATCATTTTTACAGACTGTAGGATGCCTTGGACGGGTGATCAGCTCGTTGCAAGGCTTCTACCTAAACACAGGACAGCACCAACACAGAATAAACTCATACACACACCAAACATCCATGCTTTATGTGGAATTCAAACCCGCGATCCCGGCTTCAGAGCGTGCGAAAAGAGTACACCGCTAGGCTACCGCGACCGGTCGTCTTCATGGTGTAGTGATTGATCGATTATTTAATCACACTTGCGACTTCACCTTTGCCTTAAACTAATCTACAACCAGGGATGAAAGAAAGGGGCCAACGGATAAGAAAATACTTGGAAGTATACACAGAAGTGAAGACATGAATTTGGGATAGGGTAAAAATGAAAACTGAGAAATGCTCGGACCAGACACACAGGGGCTCAGAAGAGGAGTAAGATATAAAAAATTGTGTTTTCACACTAAAGCAAAAAGCGGACGGACAATGAGAGAAGCGTATAAGAGGAGTAAAAATGTGCATTTTCACATGTAGAACGTTATAAAGCAAATTGATATTAGCAAAAAAGATTTGTATAAAGAATATTCACTTCATTAAAATTATCCTCTTTCAGAAACGTTACCTTAGTTTTTAATACATTGTATTCTTCTTCTCTGTGACCACTCATATAATGAGACGGCGGTAAGCTACAACATAACCTCTCATTATAGGAATATGCTTTATCTAGCCGGAAATAATTTTGCACTTTTGCCACGCTAAACATCTTCGGTAGAAGAGACTTTTCATTATATTTTCCCTCTGTAAAGTTAGTAAATGCCGGTCACGGTAGCCGAGCGGTCTAAGACATGTAGTGTCTTCGCTCGCTTGGAAACCGGGATCGTGGGTTCGAATCCCACTCAGGGCATGGATGTTTGTGTGCGTTTTTCTGTGTTTGTCTACAGGTAGAGAGGCCTTGCGACGAGCTGATCACCCGCCCACGGAGTCCTATCGAATTTATAAGATCTAGAAAAACCGAAGTGAACGGAGAAGTTCATGAAGGTAGGCCTAGGCCCACTGGGGGGGGAAAAAGTTATTAAATACAAATATTTTTAAGAATAACCAAAATTTTATATAACAAGGAGATTTCTATAATTAGAAACTAGAAAACGGATTTACGAAACAGAGAATGAATCACTTTCATGCGATTTAATCTTTTAGAATGTGGATTTGCATTAAATTCGTGCAAATGTGAAACATTATACTATATTTTCCTCTGAGATTTTGTAATTTTAATTAGTGGAATATATCATCATCAGGTACAAGGTAAACCACTCCACTCCGACTCGGAATTCTTTGATGTTTCCGAGTTAGTCCATTTGTCCCTTCTTCTTCACGTATTTCCTCTGTATTTATAGTTCCAAAGTAGCTGCGTTCAGTGTAATGGCGTGCATTTAAGAACTACATTTTCATCGTTTCAAATCTTCTCATATCATGTGTAATTAAATCCTAGTTGCCACGCCCACACAAGAACGTCTAACACCCTATAGTTACTGCAGGTTACTTAACATGAAATACTCGTAATATAGCGGAAAATGTAACATAAACAGTTAAGTGTTAATAATCTGCAGTGAACGGTGAAATATATAAAGTCTGGCACTGCCACTGTGATGTACCGTGTTATGACGTCATTTAATTTGCCAAGATATTGTGAAAGTGTAGGCTACCACTATCATCAGGACAGGAGTAAAGATAGTGGCAGTATGTTTCTCCGAAATGTTGGTAATTATTTACCAGAATGTACGGTGTCATAACTTGCAAATCCACAACGTGGGACATAGTACAGTGTGGATAAATACAAAGAATTTGCAGTTGCAAGTGTCACGCAAGCATGAAGGACGATAATTGAAACCTCAAAAACAAGGCACGTTAGAGCTTGAAGCTCAGACGGAGAACAATTGAAATGCAGACTGAGTGCAGCTTATTTCCCTACAGAACCACAAAACAGAGCCGGTTGGATTTCACTATTGGGCCGCAGCAGATTGCTCTGCTGGCCCGAGTTGCAATAATTCCCACAGCCCTCTATATACTACAGTATCGGTATGCATTGTTTCATAGCGATCGCTATCTGTGACATGAACGTATTCTTTTCCGCTGTCAGGGTAACCATAACACTGTAATCAGTAATCACAATTCCCATTTAG